CGTGTGGGAAGCTCATGCTGGACTACGGTGGGAGTTGGGGTGGGGGGGCAGTACTGGCGATAGGCAGGTGCGGGGAGGGCCACCCAAGCAGAAATTATGACCGCATTATGTCATGGTTGTTGTGCCATTAAGTCACAGTTGTTGTCACGTAATTAAGGCAATAGGCGAATTACCACAGACTAATTACGATTACACGTGCAGTGAGTCACTTCGGAGACACTAATAGTAGGAGGCACATACGTTTATTCTACACTTAAACACTTCTGTTCGCACACGGGATAACCACGGACGGGTCAGGACAGCCGGCACGCTGCCTGACCCACGGCGCCGAGGAGACGAAGACGCAGCACGACGGGTTCCATTCCAAACGACAGCTCTGATCCATCCTCGGGACCTCCCTTTTATTCTCCCCAGCATGGCCTGGCTCCGCCCTCGGCCACGCCCCCTTCTGGAACCTACAAGAAGGTTCTGGACTATACCCCACGTGTCCCCTCTATCACCTTTGCCCTACATCCCTTACCCCGGCCTATCACGTGCCCTGTTAGCCGACCAGGCTGCTACGTCCTCAGATGCCCTCTCTCTGCCAGCAACCAGCACTACGCACCCTAGTGACCCATTCCATGGCATCGCATGCTCTGCTGGCAGATCGGCTGCTACATCCACAATTCCCCTCTTTGACAAGAACCAGCACTACGCGCCGTAGTGTACCATTCTATGTCACTACATATGTGTTAGTGACATCGTTGGATGTCACCATGCTGTGGGTGCAGCACTGGCCCTAGAAGGGCACGGTGTGTGTGTAGTGACATCGCTGGATGTCACCATGCTGTAAGTGCAGTTCCGGCCCTAGCGGGCACGGTGTGTGTGTGTCGACCTGAGGGGAAGGTCAGGTAAGACCATGACAGTCTGGTTGACCCAGGAGGACACGTGACCGGTTAGAATTACAGGGGGGGGGCCCAAGAGGGGGCTGTGAGGGTCACGTGATAGGAACCGAGGTTCTTTGTGAAGGTTCTGGAAAGGGGGCCTGGCCAGGGGCGGAGCCTGGCCACGCCGGAGAGAATATAAGCCGAGTCCCGAGAGGGATCGTGGTTGTCCGTCCCGGGGAAGAAACCCTTTGTTTATAATCTCAGTTCTGCGAGTCTTCCAGCACGTGGACCCGGGCAGTATGTTGTCGGTCCCGGGTCCGGAGTTAATAGTGACTCAGTAACCAGTGTGGTTAGCCAGGGTGGTTACCACCCTAGGTCGTTGTCTTGTTAAAGGGGGAAGTCATCCCGTTGTGTTGGAACTAAATAAATGCGCTGCCTCCAAGTCTAAGAGTGCGACCCAGTTGAACCCACGAGACATGTATTCAAGTAGTCTTGTTAGAATGATGAGCTTCTTGTGTTTGTTATGAACCTAAGTTAGAACTGGTCGTTTAGTGTGCGACTCTTTTACTGGTAGGAACGAAGTTGTAAACTGAGTGTACCAGCCTGCAATAGATTAATGTGTCCGTCCGTCCGTCCCCTTTCAATACTTTAACGAAGTGAAATCTCGTGCTGTTGGGTGTAAAATCAGCAATAGACAGCGCAGAGACTTGTCCTACCAGCCCACCCTGCAGGGACCTGTTTTCTCATGAATACGAAGGCCTCCCCCCTCCTCCCCCCCCCCCCTTGCGCTACGTGGGGTCCTGAGCTTGTGCCTCGGTTGGTCCGTGCCGAGCGCACCACCGCGGGAGTCGGCCCGGCGGCAGGTTTACTGAATGAACTTGGGGGAGCGAGGGATGGAGGGAGCTCTTTTTTGTTTCTAATAGTTGCTGAGCAAAGGCTGAGCACGTCCAGCGGCTGGCAACGCACAGCACCATCATCGTAAGTTGTAATAGATAAGAGTTGACAAGTTCATTGAATTGAAGAAGGTTATTATTATATGAGCTTGGGGGAAACTAACAAAAAAACTATATTGTAGGGGTCTTTCGGTAAAATCAAGTAGATAGGTTCAAATAAAATAACAAAAAACGACGATGTTCCGATTGCAACACAAGCGTTCGGCATCAGGAAGTAAAAAGAGGGGGACAGCTGCTGAGGCAGACTGTTTTAAAGGTTTAAAATGGGCGTAGCCCAAGGGTCATAAATGAAGTGGGCGGGGCTAGTTATGTTAATGTGAGAAATTAGCATGTAAATGCAAGATCAGAGGGCGGCCTCCACGACGGGGGCACGGAAGTGGCTATGTTAATGTGAGAGATTAGCATGTCAATGTTACATTAGCATGTCAATGTTACATTAGCATGTTAATGTTACATTAGCATGTTAATGTTAGATTAGCATGTTAATGTTAGATTAGCATGTCAATGTTACATTAGCATGTCAATGTTAGATTAGCATGTTAATGTTAGATTAGCATGTTAATGTTAGATTAGCATGTCAATGTTACATTAGCATGCCAATGTTACATTATCATGTTAATGTGAGAGATTAGCATGTCAATGTTAGATTAGCATGTTAATGTGAGAGATTAGCATGTTAATGTTACATTAGCATGCTAATGTTAGATTAGCATGTTAATGTTACATTAGCATGTTAATGTTAGATTAGCATGTCAATGTTACATTAGCATGTCAATGTTAGATTAGCATGTCAATGTTACATTAGCATGTTAATGTGAGAGATTAGCATGTCAATGTTAGATTAGCATGTTAATATGAGGGATTAGCATGTTAATGTTACATTAGCATGCTAATGTTAGATTAGCATGTTAATGTTAGATTAGCATGTTAATGTTAGATTAGCATGTTAATCTGAGAGATCAGCATGTTAATGTTACATTAGCATGTCAATGAGAAAGATTATCATGTTAATGTTAGATTAGCATGTTAATGTGAGAGATTAGCATGTTAATGTGAGAGATTAGCATGTCAATGTTAGATTAGCATGTTAATGTGATAGATTAGCATGTTAATCTTAGATTAGCATGTTAATGTGAGATATTAGCATGTTAATGTTACATTAGCATGTTAATCTTAGATTAGCATGTTAATGTGAGAGATTAGCATGTTAATGTGAGAGATTAGCATGTTAATGTGAGAAATTAGCATGTTAATGTGAGATATTAGCATGTTAATGTGAGAGATTAGCATGTTAATGTGAGAGATTAGGATGTAAATGTTACATTAGCATGTCAATGAGAAAGATTATCATGTTAATGTTAGATTAGCATGTTAATGTGAGAGATTAGCATGTTAATGTGAGAGATTAGCATGTCAATGTTAGATTAGCATGTTAATGTGATAGATTAGCATGTTAATCTTAGATTAGCATGTTAATGTGAGATATTAGCATGTTAATGTTACATTAGCATATTAATCTTAGATTAGCATGTTAATGTGAGAGATTAGCATGTTAATGTGAGAGATTAGCATGTTAATGTGAGAAATTAGCATGTTAATGTGAGATATTAGCATGTTAATGTGAGAGATTAGCATGTTAATGTGAGATATTAGCATGTTAATGTGAGATATTAGCATGTTAATGTGAGAGATTAGGATGTTAATGTGAGAGATTAGCATGTTAATGTGAGAGATTAGCATGTAAATGTGAGAGATTAGGATGTTAATGTGAGAGATTATCATGTTAATGTGAGAGATTAGGATGTTAATGTGAGAGATTATCATGTTAATGCGAGAGATTAGGATGTTAATGTGAGAGATTATCATGTTAATGTGAGAGATTAGGATGTTAATGTGAGAGATTAGGATGTTAATGTGAGAGATTATCATGTTAATGTGAGAGATTATCATGTTAATGTGAGAGATTATCATGTTAATGTGAGAGATTAGGATGTTAATGTGAGAGATTAGGATGTTAATGTGAGATCGCAGAGCAGCAACGTTGAGCTCGGCGAGCGAGGTGGCTGTGTGGGAAATTTAACTTGTTAATGTAAAATCTGATGACGAACGTTTGTGTTGTGGTCGAAACGTCGTAGTTTTTTGTTATTTTTTGTTATTGTCTTTGAACCTATCTACCGAAAGACCCAATAATATGAATGCCTGCAGTCACGAAAGCTTTAAGTCAAGATCTAACAAAAACTATGCAACTGTTTTTATTTTATTTTACCAGGTAAGACCCGCTGAGCTGTTATAGCTCTTTTCCAGAAGTGACCTGGTCACAAATGACAGCTCAACAAACGTGGCTTATCATGCTGAAATGAAAATCAAACTCCAAATATACAGGGCTCGAATCCACAACCTCATGTCGACCAGGCGAGGTAGTTAACATCTCGCCACTGTGGCGCGCCCTAAGAAGAGACGATGGGAAGGGAATTCCAAAGGGGTGGGTGGGGGGAGTGCGCAGCAGTGCGAGGGAAGAAGCAACGAGAGAAGTGTTTGTTGACACGGCTGGAGGAAACGACGAGTTCACGGGGACTGTAGCCATGGTGGTAGTAGTAGCAGGGACCTAAGAGTGACAAGGAGGCGAGCGAGTGAGGGGCCATCCATTTAGTCCGCACGCATGGAAGGGGAGGGGGGGGTTAACCCAAATGCGTACGCTTGCGTATGGGGGGGGTCTACTGACAATGTACGTACGCATAGGAAATGGGGGGGGGGGGGTGAAGCCTCGATAACAATTTCTTCTACATTGGCCTTCAAATGGGCCACAGTTCAGCTGTCAGACAAGTACTACCGGGAGAAGTGGGGCCTGTGGGAGAGGTGTCACTCGTGTGCCACCGTGCCCTTGACTGCAGCTATCACGCAGCTCAGTAAAAATAAGTGGCTAAGGTACGCAACTTAATTATTTAATGCAGCCGGCGGTGGACTATATATGTTTGCTTAAACACGTTAACATTATTAATCCTCGATTTTTTTGTCTGCGTGGATTCAATATCGGCCGTTCTATAGGATTCGGAGGGGGTGCGTCAGGCTGTACGTACGCAGGTGGTGGGGGGAGCGGGGTTTTAAAAGTCCGCGTGCGTACAGGGAGGTGGGGGTCAAGTTTTGACAGAGTTTTGCGTACCTACTCAATGGATGGCCCCTAGCCGCTCGACGCTATCCCATTCGTGATTTCTGGCTGCTTTGGAGGCACGGCAGCCTTCCCCTCCTCCCGCCCCAACGCAGCGCAGAACCACAGGAACCTCCCCTCCTCCCCCCGGGGGTCTCGACAAGCGCTAATCAATTAGCCGCCCGCGCAAACTTTGTTTCCGTTCGTACACCCGAACCGGGCGTTCGCTCCTCGCCACGCCGGGGTGAGTGAGGTACACAGCGAGGGAGCGAGTGTCTGCGGGTGGATCGGGTCAGACGAGGAGCAGAGAGAGACGCGTTAGGCGAGGGACGCTCGGACGCGCGTTTGGCTTGAGACGGGGAACTGAAAAGTAAAGGCGAGGCGCTCTTGACGCGCGGCGCGGATGTCGCGGCCATGGGCTGCAGAGGAAACAAGACTTGCTGCGGGCACTGCTGGGGCTGGGTGGTGGCCCTGGCCTATTTCGGCTACCTGCTGATAGGAGCCGCCGTGTTCCAGGCCCTGGAGAAGGCGACCGAAACGTCGAACCAGGAGAACCTGCAGCTGGAGAAACTGGAGTTTCTCCGCAACTACACTTGCCTGGACGCAGAGGCGCTGAAGCAGTTTGCGCAGGTAAAACCACTGCACGTTCATGTGGTATATTCAACACCCTCCCGTGGTGCGTTCGCCTGTAACAACAACAACACCACACCCCCAGTATGTGATGTTATCACGCATAGGACCTAATGTCTTACTCGATACTTTCCGGATCGCGTCTGGGTTAGCTCGGAGTAGGGAGCATCTGCTTAACACAGTCGCAACGGCATTGTTAATTTTGTACTTTTTATAGTCATGGGATGGCATGATTCGTAACATTGGCCATCAGAGCCAGTCCTGTCGCTCGTTTAAGACGAGCGGTCCCGTGTCAGAGATCCCCCGTGTGTGGTTCCGGACTCCCCCAGAGAACCCACGTGTGGTTCCAGACTCCCCCAGAGAATCCCCGTGCGTGGTTCCAGACTCCCCCAGAGAACCCTTTGTGTGTAGTTCCAGACTCCCCCAGAGAACCCACGTGTGGTTCCAGACTCCCCCAGAGAACCCCCGTGCGTGGTTCCAGACTCCCCCAGAGAACCCTTTGTGTGTAGTTCCAGACTCCCCCAGAGAACCCACGTGTGGTTCCAGACTCCCCCAGAGAACCCACGTGTGTGGTTCCAGACTCCCCTAGAGAACCCTCTTGTGGTTCCAGACTCCCCCAGAGAACCCACGTGTGTAGTTCCAGACTCCCCCAGAGAACCCACGTGTGGTTCCAGACTCCCCCAGAGAACCCCCGTGCGTGGTTCCAGACTCCCCCAGAGAACCCTTTGTGTGTAGTTCCAGACTCCCCCAGAGAACCCCCGTGTGTGGTTCCAGACTCCCCCAGAGAACCCACGTGTGTGGTTCCAGACTCCCCCAGAGAACCCCCGTGCGTGGTTCCGGACTGCCCCAGAGAACCCACGTGTGTGGTTCCAGACTCCTCCAGAGAACCCCCGTGCGTGGTTCCGGACTGCCCCAGAGAACCCCCGTGTGTGGTTCCAGACTCCCCCAGAGAACCCCCGTGTGTGGTTCCAGACTCCCCCAGAGAACCCCCGTGTGTGGTTCCAGACTCCCCCAGAGAACCCACGTGTGTGGTTCCAGACTCCCCCAGAGAACCCCCGTGTGTGGTTCCAGATTCCCCCAGAGAACCCACGTGTGTGGTTCCAGACTCCCCCAGAGAACCCCCGTGCGTGGTTCCGGACTCCCCCAGAGATCCCCCGTGTGTGGTTCCGGACTGCCCCAGAGAACCCCCGTGTGTGGATCCGGACTCTCCGAGCTCACAAACGTTTCCCCTGGCAGGTGGTCGTGGAGGCCATGTCGAAGGGTCTGCACCCCGAGGGGAACTTCTCCAGCATCACCAACTGGGATTTCAGCTCCTCGTTCTTCTTCGCCGGGACGGTGGTGACCACGATAGGTTGTTGAGCGGCGTGGAGCGGGGGGAACAACTTATCAAATATATGAATGATACTCTTTGGTTCTTTTGGTAAAGCCACGTAGGTAGACAAAATATGAATGATAATTCACTGTGTAACAAAAAAAAATGTTGTTCCTGAGTAGTAAGTGTTATTTCCTAATTGCTTATGCCTCAAAAGTACAGAAATGACTATTGTTTCACACAACTTTGCTTTTTTGACCAGGACAATGATATTTTGAAACTTACCTATTTTCAATGAGAAAACGTGTGGATTCGTGTCTTTCGTTCACATAAAGTCCTGGTCACAGAAGCAAAGTTTGTGGGGAATAACAATAGCCATTTTCTGTACTTTTTATGCGTAAGCAATAGAAAAAATAACACTTAATACCCAGGAACAAATATTATGTTACGTAGTGGAACCTACAGGTAAAGGCGCAGCACTGCAATTGCTGTCAGACGCTGCCTTCCGCTACAGAACCCCTCGTGAGGTGTTTTTGGACTACTCTTACACGCTGGGCAGATATCTTAGGAGAGGTGGGAGTACCCACGATTTACATCACCAAGAGCGATTTTGTCGATCGGCCAATTTGGGTGAGCCCATTTATACGCTGCTACGTATTTAAGGAACGTGCCCCCTTGTTTCAATTGCCGCGCCGGGAGATGGAACCGGCGACCTCTGGATTGCAAGTCCGATAACCATGACCCCATTGCAGCATCCAACAGCATCATCATTATTATTCATGATGAATGTTATTCTTCACCCAGGAAAGCCTCGATAAGTCTTAAGGCTTTTTTCAGGAGGGTCCTGCTGCATCGGATTTGTATTTGCAGATGTTTTCATCCAGTTCATGAGTTGCGTTCATTATATAACTTGGAGGAAACCAGAGCACCGGAAAAACTCCATGCACACGAGGGGGTAACAATATTTCCCCGTACAGATTGAAACAGATGCCGATTAGTCCACACGTTGCTGTACTGCCTTCTGGCGAACCAGGTTGTGGCACCTCGATGCCCACGGGAAGGTGGTGATCCACAAACCCTCACTGCCTTCACAGCGTTGGATAGCAGGCAGCCACTTGCATAGCCACCACCAGCCGGCTAAAAATTAAAAAAAAAACCTTCCTTGGTCGATGGCTTAAATGGATACACGGTATTGTATTTCATTTACACAATGGAGCAACACCGTACTACCTGTTCAGAACATCATTAGATATATGTAGCATTACGACTTCAGACACTTGGGGGGTTTTATAAATAGCAGGTGCTCAGTGCACGCCGATAGTACAAAGTGGGCAGTAAGACTGAGACGTTGATCTTAGTAACCTATGGCAGGTAAAAAGCAAGTGTGCGAGGTCATAGGGTTCCAGAGAAAATCACGGCATTCGGGGGGAATGGATGGGGGAGAAGCAAAGGGAGAAAGAATGTGTGCCCTGCAGTCGAGGAGTTAAAGACGGCGTGAGCCGTGGCGATGGCTATGGCATTTACGATGTGCTCTGCAGAAGGGACATTGCCCAAAACATCACCTATTATATACTGCCGTACTTCCTGTTAAGGCCGCAGGGTCAGTGACGAATGCGTTGAGATTTGATTTTGTTTACTTCTGGGGAGGTGCGGCATTGGCATAGCAGCCACCCTGATACCGACGACACTACCTGGCTGGCCCTGACTACGGCGCTGTGAAGAAGGGCCATCTGCCCCGAAACGTCGCCAAATGTACGTTCCTTCCCAGGCCACCAGTGTTACTGACGATAGGTGTTGACTTGTTGTTGTTATCATGGTTGTCGTCTCGCAACGTCGACTGGGCGTGCGGCTCTTGCACCGTGCCCCGTGCTGATTCGGCTCCATGGCTTCTCAGGGCTCTGCGCTCACCTGCGGTGGCATTTTGCCTTCCCAGCCCATCCCGATCCCCAGCTACAGGCACACCGCCTCTTGTTTGAACGATTTCGTAAAAAATATATATTCAAAGATCAAGCCCAAAAACAATGTTTAATGTGAGCTTCATTGCTCTACCACCATCTATTTTATATATCCAGTATATATGCATCTAAGGGCACTCACTGTACAGTCGTGTGTAATATGAATGCCAAATATGAAAATTTAACAGAGAATGGGAAAGGGGCGCTGGGGTAAGGTTAGGGTCCGTGGGAGGAGTAGTGCTAGTGGCTGGTTAACTAGTTCGTATCTGATGGGCTAACTGTTTAAGCTCGAGGGGTAGGGCTAGTTATCTCAGAATGATTATTTACGATGGAGGAATTCGATAAGCTACGAAGTTATTTTTCACAAATGTCCAGCAGTGGGTCAGCGAGTTTCTTCAACAAACGATACAAACAACGATATTAGAGCAAGAAAGAGATAAGGTAAGCAAGTCTCTCAAAATAAATAAATAAAATTTACAAGTACACGTTGCATAAGCACATATTTCTGCCGAATTGTCAACACCAAATGCAAGCTTGGGCGAGGCAACAAACTGCAACACCATAATAACACACAATAGTCCCTCAATGGCATTGTGCATTGACATCGAACTATACATATCTTATTCTTAGTTCTTTCGGTAAAGTCACGTTGAAGGGAAACAACAAAATAATAAAAAATATATAAGTATTTTTATTGATTTATATATTTTATTATTTTGTTGTTTCCCTTCAACGTGACTTTACCAAAAGAACTAAGAATATGAATTACTGCAGTCACGAAAGCTTTAAATCAAAATGTATACATATAAGATTTACGATTTTGATTTAAAGCTTTCGTAACTGCAGTAATTCATATTCTTAGTTTTTTCGGTAAAGTCACGTTGAAGAGAAACAACAAAATAACAAAATATATATAAAACATATATAAAACAATATTGTTTTATATATATTTTGTTATTTTGTTGTTTCTCTTCAACGTGACTTTACCGAAAAAACTAAGAATATAAGATTTACGATGTTAAGGAAGGAAACAAGGTTGTTCCAAAAACGTTGGTGCTGCAACGGCTTTTGTCACCTATTCCAATTCTTGTTCTTAGAGTAATGACGCCGACACGTTGGAACTATTATGTGCCTTTATTCGGACACAGCACTCTCTCGGCCCAGACTTGTTCTCGTCTTGGACTCCGGTCTTCACTTGGACCTCTCCTCTCCTCGTGCTCTCCCCTTTTATCCTCCCGAGCCCTCTTTCTCAAACCTCCTCTCACCCCACTCTCCTCATCCAATCATCTTCCTTCTTCCCCCAACGGTTGACAACCGTCGTCTTTACAGTCTAACTTCGCTTTCCACCTTTTCCGTTCAAACCTCCCCTCCGATCCCATTGAATATTGCCTCCCAATCAATCTCTGGAGGCCTCTCTGTGCCAATCCGAGGCCTTGGCCTACTTTCTGGTAGTCCGTTTACTTCGGGTCAGTGATCTGGATTTTCGGTCATTACATTAGGATAGGCAATTAGATGGATGTCTAAGGTTTCTTGGGTTTGACAATGGGGATGACGAATTAGCTAAGTATAGCGCAGCTTTGCAAATAAGGATTTTATGGATGAACAGGGCCCAGTGTACATTTCGTCTTGCATCAAGTGATGGGAGATTGGATTTTAAGTAGAAGTCACAATGGTGGGTCCTGTATAGTCCATCCAGTGCAAATCGAAGAGCAGAATGATGAAGCGGGTATTAGTCTGTTTCGTGATTCATTAGAAGCTGATCAGTAAGCAGCGATGCAGTAGTAAAAATGATAGAATTATAGCCTAAACAATTTGCAGGCGCAGTCGAATTGGAAAACTGCGTTTCTGTATAAATCCCATAATTTTTATAACATTTGAGATGTGATCAATATGGAGTCGGAATATAAGTTTTGAATCAATCAGTAAACCGTATTTGTAGCGCTACGTTTGCTGTATGTACGTTGAACGTCTTTCGCACTGTACGTAGCCCACCGTGCTCATCAGCTGTTGTCTGTTGTTTCCCCATGCCTCAGAATCATAAATAAATCCTGAGCACATTACAAACGTGCAACTTGAATGCTGCTCAACTGTCTTGGCAGGCTACGGTCACCTCTCGCCCAATACGGTGGGCGGGCAGGTGTTCTGCGCCTTCTACGCGCTCTTCGGAATCCCCTTCAACGTGATCGTGCTCAACATGGTCGGCAAGAGCATCACGCGCCACGCCAAGCGTCTGGAGATACAGATCCGGAAAAAGGGCTTCAACAAGGCAAGGAGGCAGCCCGGGCGAACGCGCTTGCTCGCTCTTGCGCACACATGCACGCACAAGCACACGGCGCCAGTGTGCAGCCTGTGCGGACCGTTGGGGCGAGCGCCACTAGCGAGTGGCACCTGTGAAGGCCGGCAGGGCACACGAAGAACGGAGTGGTGCGGCCATGCCCTGGCCGCCTTTGCCTCTCCGGTGCTGCGCCAGGTATTCGATTACGGGGACTCCTCTACTTACGAACGAGTTAGGTTCCAGAGGTCTGTTCGTAAGACGATTTGTTCGTGAGTCCAACTTTACTTCTGTCGATTCCAAACGTGTTGTACAGCGTGTATACTAAATCACAGGGAATGGCTTTAAAAGTTGTATAAGCTCCTGTAGATGCAGATGCCACTGGTACTTCATGTACTGCAGATGTAGTTGCCACTGGTTCATGTTCTGTAGATGTAGATGCCACTGGTTCTTCATGTTCTGCAGATGTAGATGCCACTGGTTTTTCATGTTCTGCAGATGTAGATGCCACTGGTTCTTCATGTTCTGCAGATGTAGATGCCACTGGTTCTTCATGTTCTGCAGATGTAGATGCCACTGGTTCTTCATGTTCTGTAGATGTAGATGCTAATTCCCTTTGGCACTCGTGTTTTCTCTTTACTCTCTTGAAAAACTCGTTTCGAACAGGCAAATGGACATACGGACAGGTTTTGTTCGTATCTCAGAACGTTCGTAAGTCGAATGTTCGTAAGTAGAGGAATCCTTGTACAGCAGAGTTGTGTGAGGTCAGGTCAGGAACCAGTTCTGATATCACAGGCAACTGATGTAGCCATGGTTGGGAATCAAACCCAGGTTGCCTGGTTCTAAGTGCAGTGGGCTATGCACTGTATCGCCACTCACGCACTGTACACGCTGTAGGCGCAGCTTTCATGTACCAAAAATAAACTACGTTTTAACCTAAGTGGAGCAATGAGTCTGACGCATGTTTGAGGTGTCTCAAATCAAGAACTGTTTCTTTATTTCTTCGTTGCAACAAAACGAACGGTTCCCAAAGTTACATCTCGTTTCTACTTTATCACGTGATCACACGTGGTCAAAAGACTGCGTCCACTCGCTCCATTTTAAGGTACTCCTGGCTTCCGTTTTGCTGCCAGACCGGAAGTTACGTCATGGGTTCAACCAACGGAGCTTCAGTTCAGTTTATTTTGGTATAGCCCTGTGAGCCATTCGGCTCTTGAAACGGGTGCAACCACAACAAAAAAAAAATACGAACTAGAAAAACATCTTAAAGTGACTATGTGAGTGTGCAAACAGAAAATCCATGGAAAAAAAGAGCAAAAATATTCCTGAAAAAAAGCACCGCACACCAACGCTGTGTGCAAAAAATCCCAGTGGGATGCAAGTCAAACAACAACAACAACCACCACAAGAAAACTTAGATTAAAGCCATCAGTCTAACTCCGTACTAGAACCAAACAAACATGTCCAAACCAAAAAACTTTTTTCCAAATCAAAAAATAAAGCCATAATTGCAACGTAACAGTGATCCCAAGGACTGTGACCGAATTTTTACAATAAACTACATAAATAACATGTAACACCAAATCCTAGAGCATCTAACCAAGGGGGATTCTAAACAGTTGACTATTCCAAGTCAAATATTCCCAATCTTAAATAAATGTATGACATGTACATCAAATGTATATGAATAATACATTCACTTTCTGTCTTATGGCTCTTACACACGCACACACTTGCAAAGGACAGGTGGCTCAGCTGGAGAGCGAGCACATCACGATTGGAAGCTTGCGAGTTCAAATTCCGGTTGGGGGTTGACCATCTTCTCACCAGGGTCGAAAAAATATAGTACCACTTTGTGGTGAAGTCAACAGCGATTGACCTATGTAAGCACTCGTTCCTGCCATGAGAACGTACAATTTCCACTCCTGGCTAAGGACATGATTTAAAGGACCGCTTTACGCACACGCGCCAACCACGTGCCAACGTTGGTGCAACGTTGCCTGCTAAACCTGCCGCACGCGACGTTCCTACGCAGAGGAAGGTGAAGGTGGCCATCGCGCTGCTGTCGTTGCTGGGAGGGACGGTGCTCTTCCTGCTGCTGCCCCCGCTCGTGTTCGGCGTGCTGGAGGGCTGGACCTACACCGAGGGCTTCTACTACGCTTTCATCACGCTCAGCACCATCGGCTTCGGGGACTATGTTGTCGGTGAGTGGCACGGAGGGCGCGATCGCCCTGCGCCGTCGCCCTGAGCGAGGCTTTAATGATGACACACGCGATGAGTTCATCTGTAGCCCGGTGTTGTTGTAGTTATTACCACTATGCTTGTTCACCCAGGAAAGCCTCGCTGAGTCTGATGACAATTTTTTAGGTGTCCTGTCAGGTTTTCGCATTCGGGGAGGGCTACGATTGCTGTGTGTTTCCCAATTAACTAATCTGGCATGTTATAGGATCATGATGCTGACACACAGTGCCCTAACTCTTCTTCAACTGTGACGTAAACGGTACGTTATAATTTTACAATGAATACACCTGCGGTGATAGACAGGGCGACTCGCTGCAGTGTGTACACATCACTACTAGGGAGACAAAGGAGGCCGGGCACGGTGCCGGCTGCCCACACCCTTGCGCGCCATGCCGAGCCTTCATTAGGTGTTCACGATTGGCACTCTCCCCAACAGTGTCAGAGGCCACAAGGGGGACCTTTTGTCTTTTTGTACATCCATGCACCGCAGGAAACAACCCAAACCGCACGTACGCGCACAGCTACCGCGGACTGGTTGCCCTCTGGATCATATTCGGCATCGCCTGGCTTGCCATCATCTTCAACCTGTTCATGGGCATCATAGAGGAGTCCAAGAGAGTGCTGAACAAGGTTCGTTTCAAGCCGCGACAGAACGGGAAGTTCTGCGTGCTGATGTGCGCCGACGCTCCCATCCAGAAGTCGGGCAGCGCCTCTGACGAGAAACTGGGCACCGCCTACGGCTCCGCAGCGACGCCCGAGAAGGAGAGCGCGGAGCCCCTGGGCGTCTCCGGGACGCCGTCCTCCACGGGCAGCACCGACGGGGGCGAGGCCGAGATAGCCCTCAAAGCGTTGGGGGTCGCCAACGCGCACTGACGTCGTCGTTCCGCGTAGCTCTCCGTCCGATGGGTGAAGGAGGAGTCGTGTGGGCGGGGGAACAAGCGAGGCGCTCCAGTCGCCTCCTGAAAAAGCTGCCAGCAGGTGGAGTGAAACACTCGGCGTCATCGTCGCGAAACACACCGGGAGTGCTCCGCAAAGTAAAACGCTTGACAAAACGACGAGGGAAAAAGCCGCGCACGACGCGCACGAATTCCGCAACGCTTTTCAACGTCCTCGGAAGCATTTCGCGAGCGATCATGATGTCACGTTTTAAGCCGCACAATGACACGAAGTCGCACACAGTGCCGCAATCGGGAGGCGAGGCACGAATGCTGATGTGTGACGTCATTACCTTGGCCAGCAAGGAAAAACCTTTTAGTGCTGGTTTTTATTACTCAGTTATGGGAACCTCTTTGGTCAATTTGGCAGATGGTGTCTCGGGTCAGTCCTTAATTGTAACGCTACTTTAAACTGAAATTATGTTAACATTGGATCATATCCCACCCCCTCCCCCTATTGTATCTATCACGACCATGTAGGATAGCAAGGCCAGCGTGGTAGCTTTGCTTAGACATTTTTTTGGATAAACAAGGGTACTGTAGTACGTTTGGTAGAGAATACAAAATATGTATGGACATGAACAATAAATATTATGCTTATTAAAACGGTATTGAAACTAATATTACAGCCCATGGTGGTGAAAACTGGTAGCCTTTCCCAAAGTGGAACCGGCCAACCGCCTTGGACAATGGCCAGTCTTTGTTCCACACAGAGGAGGCTGTTGTGGGGTCGCTTAAAGGGAAATGGTATTGTACCAGACCTGCGTATCAGTCCCTATCTCTGGCAGGGAGAATATTTAACTTGTAAAGGTGTAACGGTTATGAGGGCAGTCCATTTGTGTGCTGGACCAGACAGGGTTCACCCTGACCAGCGTTATCATAACTTCCTTGTGAAGGAATCGACGAGCCCGCCTGTGCCCCACCTGTGCCCCACATGTGCACGACCCAATGATGCAACAAATTCGCTTCAATCGTCGTGGTACACGAGCCAGAAGTCTTGTCTGAAAGACGCGTCCGTTTGAAGACACCGAGGTTTCTTGTGCATTCTCACAGAGTGCACGAACGGTTAAACGCAGTGCCTCACGTTTTTTACCGCCCGTGCGAGTTGACTAATAGCGAGACGGCACTTGCAACACAACTTCTTATCTCCTGGCAAAGTGTACTCCTTACCGAATAGACCTATAGTTTACAACTTTGGACTTGATATGTAAACAGATGGGGTTTTTTCCTCCTTCCAAGGATTCAATGATACGTTATTGGTAACTTACTTTTTTAGTTTTTATTTAACTGTTGAACATCTTGTGCTTTACATTTGCGTCTTTCAAGGCCACGTAAAATATATCTATAATCTAGCGGGCAAAGGGAACAAAGAGAGATTTCGACGCGGGGCGTTCTCAGTCGCACGCCGTCGCCTGTCGGTCCGCTTGGGCATGGCGCGGCAACTGGGGCCTGGGGCTGTGTCGGTGGGGGGCTGTGCGATCAAACCGAAGGACGATGATCTTTGCACACCTGCGGTTCCTCCCACTCCCGACGCCGCTTGGGAGCCGCAGCCGTATAGAGTGTCAGCGCTTTGTCGCGAGTTTATCAAGAGCACAGCTCAACAATCGTCAAAACCTTGCTGCATGTGTAGAGGCCGTAATCGCGCGCACATCTCTGAAAATAAACTGAAATACATTCTTTATTTACGAATTTATAAACTCTTGCGGTTTTTTTTCTTGAGACGTTCGTGCTGCAAATGTTTTTATGTTTTCAGAACTGATGTTGGTGATGTTAATCAGCAGCATAATTATATTATCCGAGTGCCGAATAGTGTTTCTCGAATATACTCATTGGATGGACACTGCAAAATTGAGGCAACGTGTATGCAAAAATGATATAAGCCAAATTTCTCTTGCAACACGCATGCCCTCTTACCGTGAATAAGCTGCAAATTCTACACAACACCTTTTCCTGCCGTCGAAATGAGACTCCTGTCCAGGTTGTGGTGCCGTGGGCAATGCGATAGGCTCAATGCATCCTCGAATGGATTTCCTCATTTTGTCAAAGTCTTGAGCGATGGGTGGGTGGGGGGAACAAAGCGCTCTTTGGGCTTAGAGCTCACACCTGCGGGGCTGAGAGCTCGCACCTACGTCTGTACACAGCATGCAACCTCCGGTGCCTTTCCCGCATTGTTCCCATTCGCACGTCAAACATGGGGTTGCCAACGGAGCAACCAAACGCAAACTCAAAGGGGGTTCTTGTATTTGCGCAACACACATGCCGCCGAGGGAAAGCCAGGTAGCTCGCCAACTGCATTAACGATCGCGCACGGCTCCATTATTAATCCACCGCTGGATGAGGGCCTCCAGTCACCGTGAAGGTAGTGGGCAATTGTTTTTTTTTACCATACTTTACCACGCCCGTCAGTGCGGGTTGGTGATGGCGGGGAGCACAGAGGTACAGCCCAAGGAATTTTTCAGCACTGCCCTCTGCTGTCCACCGTACTGCTCCATAAACTGTAAGCTCTGGCAGTGGTGATAAATCCAGCTGTGCCATAAACAGGAGCTCGGAGAGAACTTACAAAACCGTGCTACATGTGCAAAACAACTCAACACATTCATCAATAATACTGCCTTAAAATAAATATATAACAGGCCCTCTTTGGCGAATGTGTTCATTTGTTATTTGTGCTTTGTGCGTCGCTTAGCACTCTGTCGTGTGGGAGGTCTTAATATTTAATCATCTCATTAGTCTCATTGTCTAGGGGTATGTTATTTTTTCATATCAAATATAGGACCTTTTCACATGCCAAAGGTCACAAGGTCTCGCCAGCAGCATGCAAACCCAGAATTGAGGAGCATACTGCGTTGATGAATAAAACCACACGAGACCGAAGCCGCATTTTAATATTTTAATAACATTTAAATATCAATCGGCACCAGCGGGGAGGCGTGCGCCACCAGGTTCCAGCGACCGACCGCCACGCACCATCGCGAGACGCGCATCCATCGCCGGCGTGCAGCCATGCATCCACAGAGGTGCAAGTGTCACGAGCACTTAAGAGATATGAAGTCTGATAAAAAAAAAACATTAAGGAATATTTTTTTGTAAAATCTCCAGACTAGAACAAACCGATCACTGTTGCCTCCCAGCGTGACATCTCAAGCCGGTTGAATCTGATTTAAATGAAATGTGGTGTGAAGCTGGGGAAGGGGGGGGTAGTGGTTTCCAGGCACACTGGGTTAGTGGACTGGAAGTGACACCGCGCTCTCTTACCCACGCGTCGGCCGAGGTTGACGAAGCCCGAGCACACGAGCGCATTAATATCCAGCGCGACTAACCAAAAGCGACGCTTTGTGCACGAGTGTCCATCAGGTGGCATTTAAAGCGCAGCCACAGCGCGCACGTGCAGGGGAAAAATCAGGCCACCCACAAATCCAAACGAGACATGTTTGGGGACGAAAAAATTAATAATGTAGTCGTAGTTACGTAAGGATTGTTATTTTTTTAAAGGTTGTTCGTCGTTTCAACTACATGGGTTTAACGATGTTCATACCTGCCAAGCCCTTATCAGTGCCTCCCTTATTACAGACCAATTCAGACCTTATTGGTCACCCCGTGGCGTTATAAATCTCAACGTTTATCCTACAAAGTCCCATCACAAGGAAAAAAATAGACACAAAAACATATGCCTGTTTTGAAACGGTTGTACGCCGTATGGACCTGAAAACTTAATTGCCCCGCACAGAAATACGGTGTAAACCCAACGGGTTGACAGCTATGGATTTGTACATGGCGGGCGGTCGGCGTCTGCAACTTATATCGGCGTTTGATAACCATTTCACGTGAGACGACGGACGTCGATAAGTGACGACGAATATCGCGAAGTATTAACGTGAATGCAATTACTATTGTAATGAATGAAACTTAAAAAGAATTGAACCTGTAAACTCTGTGCAAACTGGCTCAGTGGGTGAGTGTGCTGATGACTCTCATATCCGGTTACTCAGTAACTCGTATTGCACGGTAATGATTACATTTGTACACTCACGCGTCAAATCGTGCGCAAAGTGGTACATCGGTTAACGTAAACATAAAGTACTTGCAGGATACATGCTCCAACTAAATTTCGTATGACAATGGAGTGACCAAAACTGTACGAATGAGACGTGTAAATACGAATGAGATAAAACTATTCTAAGTGACTTTACCGAAAGAACCAAAGAGTAGTTTTTTTTCAGTTTATTTATTTTGGTATAGCCCTGTGAGCCATTCGGCTCTTGAATCGGGTGCAACCGCAACAAACAAAAAAACAAAAACACGAACAAGAAAAACGTCTTAAAGTGACTATGTGACTGTGCAAACAGAAAATCCGGGAACAAAACATACAAATATTCATGAAATAGCACCGTACACCAACACTGTGTGCAAAAAAATCCCAGTGGAATGCAAGTCAAACAACAACAACAACAACCACAAGAAAACTTAGATTAAGGCCATCAGTCTAACTCCGTACTACAACAAAATAAACATGTCCAAACCAAAAAACGTTTCGAAATCACCAAAAAATAAAGCCATAATTGCAACGTAACAGTGATCATAGGGACTGTGACCGAATTTTTACAATAAACTACATAAATAACATGTAACACCAAATTGTAGAGCCATAGCTGGCTGCATGAGTTACTCCATACCAACAGAAGCATCAGTCGGAGTATCACATTTTTCAATGCACCTTTAAGATCAGCACACTAAATCAAAATACAGATAATAGTTTGCAGCCTCATCCGGTGTGAAACATTTTATTTAATTTTACGCCAATGAATACCAGTGGCAGCTAGGGGTGTACAACACCTCTAGAGCAGTTTTGAGAGAAGATCTCATTGGTAGCGATTCAAGTTGCAGTTTATTGGCAATAGCATTCCAGACCCTGGGGGCATTAATAGCAAAGGCCCTCCCTCCAGTTTTTGTACGGCAATAGGGAATGTGAAGCTGGTAAATGAGCGAAGACCTGAGGTCAAATTTGTTCTTTGAAACAGAGAGGAGATTCAGCAGGTAGTCTGCGGATTTTTTTGTAAGTACATCGTGAATAATTAAGATCTGGTGCACAAGCCGTCGAACATTAAGAGATGTTAAGTTTGACCAAATGTAGAGATCACAGTGGTGAGTCCTATATGGGCAGTTCACTGTAAATCTTAAGGCCGAGTGATAGATGGAATCAAGCTTCTTCAGTACAGTACTTGGGGCTGATTTATACACGATGTCAAAGTTGTCAAGTAGAGGCAGTATGGTCGCTTTTATCAATTCCAAACGGGACATTGGGGGGAAGCAGTGCTTGTGTCGATACAGAAAACCAATTTTTATTTTTGTCTTTTTACCAATAGAATCAATGTGATCTTCAAAATTCAGTTTTGAATCCAGGATGACCCCAAGATACTTATAGATCTAGACTTGCCCTATTTGATAATTATTTAAGGAATGCAATTGGGGGAAAATAACTTTCTGCTTTAGTCCTGGTGAGAAGCATAGCACCTTGGTTTTGGAGGTATTCAGGACTAGTTTAAGAACAACTAGCTGATGTTGTAGTTTGTTTAAATCACCCTGTAGCTTGGCAATTACGTCATCCGGAGAGCGGCCAGCTGTAATCAGTATCGTGTAATCTGCAAAAAGATTTACCCTGGAATGATCCAGGTCAGTGCCCAAGTCATTGACATAAAGACAGAACAAAAGGGGGCCAAGGATGGAACCCTGTGGAACCCCTTTTGTTATCTTAACACTGTTTGACCTCCAACCATCTGTGAATACAGTTTGGGTGCGAGTAAATAGGTAATTTCGTAACCATTTTACTGCGTTTTCGGAAAAAACCGAGGCAACTTAGTTTACTCAGCAGGGTGTTGTGGTCTACTGTATCAAAAGCTTTGGACAGGTCTAGAAAAAGACAGGCACATTTCTGATTATTATCAAGGCTACTGTAAATGTGATTCAGAGAGTCTAATGCAGAGATGTGGTGCTGTATTTATTTCGGAACCCAGATTGTTTTAGATGTAGTAGATTGTTGGTGGACAGGAAACTGCTAATTTGGTAGGTCAATAATTTTTCAAAAAATTTCATCAACGAGGCCAAAATTGAGATAGGTCAGTAGTTATTTGGATCATCTTTAGGGCCCCCTTTGTGAAGTGGACAGACATAGGAATGTTTCCATTCTAGAGGAACTGATGCTTCTTTGACGGACAGGTTGAAAATATGGGCTATAGGTTTGTATATTAGGTGACCAACAGTAGAGCAAAGACGGAAATACTATCTTCTCCGGTAAAGGAGGACCCTTTGAGGTAGGACAGTTGTTTCAGAACATTACTTTCGTGGATTGGCTGGAAACAATTCATTTAATGTTTGGACAGGGGTGTAGGAATTTGCATGAGCAGGAGTGACTCCCAATACATTATCAAAAAGATTACCAGCTTCAGAAAAATGAAGGTTAAAATTGTCAACTATTTTTTGGGGGGATCTGAAAAACTATTCCCCATTTCGGGTAAGCTCAACGGGCAGATTGTCTGTTTTGGATGCCTTTTTCGATACATTTGATTGTTTTCCAGAAAATCCTGGCATTTCCATGTGATCCCAGGAGAGTGGAGGAAAAGTAGGCATTTTTGCATGCCGTATTTTTTTTGACGCATCTATTCCTTAAAATCCTGTATTCTAGCCAGTCAAATGAGATGGTAAAAAAAAGATCCAAAAAACGTTTGGCCGACGTGGAGGCGGCGCTTCCGCCAGCGAAACGTTGCAGTGGACTGCACCGTTACGTTTTGCGCGTTCGCTACAGCCACCTTGCGTACGGGAGCGTCATCACAAGCGGCACCGTTCCCCGCCTTCAGAATGTCCGGCTGGAGAAACGCGAGCGCTTCATCGCTGTGCGGCTGCTCACAGTGGGGGTGGCGGGGGGGGGGGCGTCACGGCAATCGTTCCGCGGTGGAGCGCAGCATCGAGTGGCTCCCTCGGGCGACGGCAGCGTCGGTCGGAGAACCCCCGGGGGCTGCGCGGGACAGCGGCCGCACGCGCCGAGCGAGCACACGTCGCAAACTTTTGCCCACTGCGACCCCCTCCACCAAAGCCAACTTCCACCTCGTAGAGTTTGGTGACCCCCTAAATTGTGGAGAAGGTGGAGAGTGGTCGGAGAGGGGGGGGGGGGGTGATACGGTGGTGGGGAGGCAAAGCCACCAGGGCTGGAGATGTTCCATTTACCACTGGTTGAAAATCTGGAATTACTGTCACAATGATTAGATAAGAGCTCTTGGTGGCTCAGAGGGCTAAAACTACGACGTCAAAGCAATGAGCTGGTTGCGCTGAGATCCTGGATTTGAATCTCGGAAAGCCACCGATGATGAATCGCGGCTCTCAAGAGTAGAAAGTTAATGGTCTCAGCTATGTCCCCAAAGGCTGCGCAAACAAAAACAACATTCATTTTGGATTTTCACTTTGGCATATTCCGGCTATGAGAATTAAACATTGATTTGACGTGCGACAAAGGCGTATAACAACTCTATACCCTTCGTATGCAGGACAGGCCTATCGGAAGTGCGCTCGAGGTGACTCGTCTCCTGGGGTTTTTCTCCAATACAAGGTGGTGCACTGCTGACTGCAGAAGTTCTGAAATAGAAGTCTGATTCGTCTCGCGATGTAAACGTATTCGTCGAGTGGGAATGCGTATGGCCCCAAAAAAATAATACACCAAAGAAATTCATAACAGAGGTTTGATTTGTAGTTTTTTTGGGTTAGATCGCGTAAATATAAAAATGTGTCGTTAAAACCCGCCACCACCCGACACAGCCAACTAGTAAGGGTTGTCACGTAAACAGAACGTGGCCAATTCATGACTAGCACAGCACACCGGTGTGTTGGAGAGCCAAGCCACGACATTTACAATCTGAGTACGACGTTTCACCAGTAATTGCAACTAGCTTCATCATACAGAGGCGGAGGTGATATATATTGAAACGAAACAGGTGGAGTTCTCCACAAATATGGTTGTCGCCTGATGAAGCTATTACTGGCGAAACGTCGTACTCAGATTGTAAATGTTGTGGCTCGGCTCTCCAACACACCGGTGTGCTGTGCTAGTGATGAATCGGCCACGTTGTTTACGTTACAACCCTTACTAGTTGGCTGTGTCGGGTGGTGGCGGGTTTTAACGACACATTTATATATTTATGCGATTTAACCACCCCCCCCCCCCCCCAAAAAAAACCTCTATTATGGATGATATTGCTCGAGAAAGCCAACTACGTGTTAAACTGACCAAAGAAATTGTCACGCGGAGGGTTTTTTGTTGTTGTTCCCCACTGCGCGTGCCACTGGCGTGCAGCCGTCAGTCACCAAAGGGGCGTCTGGCACGGCGGCTCGACGGTAGAGCGAGCGGCCTAAACGCGGGTTCCTGCGTCTTACAGCACACGCGCTCCGCCGTCTCGTCTGTTCGGTAAACAGCTATTATACAACGGGAAACCGTCTACGCAAACACCATTTGCTCGTTTATCGCGGCGCAAAAAACAAATAAAAACAGTCATTTCCTGCTTAAATCAAGCATTGAGTGTCGTCCTCGTTTTCTGCTTACAGCTGCTTACAGAGTGGGAACTCTACGTTCCTATCGTGATGGCGAGTTTATCCATAGGACGACTGCTGTTGGCTTCTCTCCACAAACACAATTTTAACTACTCTTTGGTTCTATTCGGTAAAGTCACGTAGGTAAATAATAAAACAACAATAATCACGACGTTTCGGCCACAACACAAGCGGCCTTCATCAGGTGAAGGGACGAGCCTGTCTGGAGGACAGCGCTGGAGTGGAAGAAGCCACGCTTAGATCACGACATTTAAGCTGTGTGAGAGGAAGAAGAAGAAGACCACTACGACCCATCGTATCCACGATCAACTCCCCTACCTATAGACTAGCCCGTTTTCTGTCAGATACCTTGCTGCCTTTCACTGGCAAGACCACCTCA